TGTGAGCCATGTGGGTGGTTCTACCACAGACAAAGCAGAACTTCTCATCAGACTTATGGCTGGAAGAATTGGGATTTGGTTTGAAGGAAGATTTGTTGAAAGATTGTTGATTTTTCTTGAATTTCTTCCCTTTGGGTTTGAAATTCTTAGATTTAGGCTTATCCTCTACCAAGTTTACTTTAGCTTTTGTTTTATTCTTGGTATTGGAATTTTGCCTATGCTGGTCTTTAATACGAATAGACTTGAGGGCTTCGGTTAAGGTTAGATCTCCTTGCTGTGTCGGAGATCTCCAGCAAATCTAGACCAGGAGGGAGAAAGTTTATCAATCAAACATGAAACTTTATAATCGTCAGTAAAAGTGTTTCCTTTTGATTAGAGATGACGGAGGAAATTTAGGAATTTATGAATTTGTTCATTAATGGGCTTGTCATCAACCATCATGAACTTATTGAAGGAGGAGGAGGTGAAACGCAGAATTCCGGCATCATCATAGCCATATTCTACTTCAAGAGAATTCCATAGGTCTTTTGCACTTTTGAATTCGTAATATATGTCATAAAGGTTGTCCGCAAGTGCACTAAGGATCCTATGACAACAATGATAGTTAATTTCTTCTGGTTTCATAGAGCTAGAAAAGGAGCTAGCACCAGAACGAGAAGTGGAAGGAGCAGGTTGAGCAGGATCAAGAGTCAAAGGTTGAGAACCACTAGTAGATGACTCAGAAGTGTCAATAGCAGATAAAAGACCTAAGGTAGTGAGCTAGTATTTCATCTGATTAGCCCACCATTTATAGTTAACACCGGTGAACTTCTCAGGTTTGACACTTTTTGAATGATCAGGAATTGCCATAAGTCCAATTTAAGTTTACTAATCTAGGTAGATGTAATCTGATATAAAAAAAGATTTTGTCAAAATTACTAGACCAGAAACTTAATTAAACTTGCTTTAAATCAAAAACTCTGAAAGTGAAAAGATTAAAGTTTTACTCGGGTAGTTTGGCTAGGTAAGGATAGTACTAGAGGTTGATCAAAGATCTATTAAGTAACTCGTTTCTTGTAGAGCGCTTTACGCAACCCTTAAACCTTTCCTTAGACACCAACTAATCCAAGAAAACTTGAACCGGTTCACTTAAAGATTTTTTGTTTATGACAGATACTGAAATTGAGCACAGAAGCAGCAAAGAAATTATATATATAATTTTTTTAAACTAATTTAGATGCCACAAATTAAAACAATTAACTAATATAACAAGTAATTGAAATATATGAATATTCGGGTGAATAGTAATCCCGATGAATAGTAAATTTTTTTAACTAATTAACTTAATACCAAGAATATTAATTAATCTTCTAGATTGCTGTCAAAACAGGGATATAAAAATATAAAAACAAATTAAAGAGTTAGAAAATTCAGGCCTGATTGGGAGCAGTCGTGATATCACTGCCTTAGAAGATTAAGGACCCGCCTATCGCCCTGACGCAGTTTGTCCTCTCTCCCCTAACGGTAAAAACCCCCGGAATCGGCCGACCTCTGTACTCGGGCGTGAGTCACAGAGCTTATGCTCAGACGAAAACGGTTGCCCAGCAAATAGAAATATAAATATGTAGTTGAAATTTCTTGGAGGTATGAGAGTAGAGAAGAGAAGAGAGTTTAGAAGTTTTCCTCTTCGTTGGTGTACTTCTGAATGAGCTCCAAGCCTGCTTATATAGGTGAGGAGAGGTGTAACCCCCGCTGAATCCAAGGGACCGTTACGCACGAATCTAGCTTCTGTGACCCGCATACAGCCGTTACAGAACGTGCAAAACGTGCAAAAATAAAAGCTTGAGAAGCAAAAAGGTGTGCGTGTGCGGTGCGGCGTGGCGCGCGTGCGGGGCGTGGCGTGCGTGCGCGTGCGCGCGTGTGTGGTAGAAATGCAAAGCCCACAAAACCCAAAACACTATTCAAAGCCCAATAAGAAGAGAACCATTATATACCCTTTACTATTCATCTCATTTTCCAATGTGGGACTATTCACAAAGGCAAAATTGCCTTTTCATTAACAAAGCTTCCAACAGATTGAAGAATGAATTTTTTTCGTGTAGGAAGATGCTTGCGAAGAAGGGAGAGTGGGTGAGCTCGTTGATTGTGCTTTGGTCTCCAAGTAGGAGATTATTAGTCTAAAGGATGTAGACTCAAAGCTGGAATCAAACAAATTGTTGGATAGCATGTTTCCTAATTTGTTTTGGTAACATGATTCTTAATCTGTTTTGGTAACAGGTTATTAGGATTCCTAATCTATTTTGTTTTTTGGTTTTAGAATTTCTAGTCTGTTTTGGTTTTAAGTTTTCTATATATATGGAACACTTTAGAAGAGATCAGACATTAGAAAAATAGGGTTTTGAGAGAATTCTTCAGAGAGATCTCAGAGAGATTAGATCCTATTTGTAGGCATTGTAATCTTCTTCAATATTAATCAAAGAATTGTGTGGTGTGACTCCCAAGGATGTAGGCACGATTGCCGAACCTCGTTAAATCTGATGTGTTCTTTCTTGTTTACTTTCCTGCATGTTTTTTATCTTTTATTTGCTGTGATTTTCCTACTTTCCTACTCTCAAAGAGCAATGGTTCGATTTGATTGTTTCGAATCCCCAACAAGTTACTGTTCTGAGGGAGAATTAGTGCAATCTTATTGATAAAATAGTAAATATCTAATTTCTTTCCTACTTTCTCATTAAATGGATATATAGTTAAGGCCTGAGAGGACAGAGCTGTCAATGATATGTCTTAGTCACAGCTAATGATCTCTATCATGATCAACTGTCACTCCGAATTTACGTTAGCTTCCATCAGTATTTTTCCAGAAGGAATTTGAATTACCTATCTATGAGGGAAACCTTTTTTTTTTCAGTGGCGTACGTATGATGAACTTGATTTAGATAGTTCACCTGGCTTGCAATTTCTTTTCCAAAGATCGGTATATGTTGATGACTTTTATCGTCGTTATGCTAATAATCAGATGATCATATCAATTGTAGCCCATATTATGTATGACAAGCTACTATTTCTCCAGTGACATGGCCCCCATTTTTTTAACTTTAGATGGAAGCCATAAAGGTGGCAGTAAATGTTATTAACAAATTTAGCCTCTTCACACAAAGTGTTCACATACTAGTCCGTGTCCTTTATTATGGCTGTGCTTGTTTATACAAGAGCAAAACTCAAACTTTATTGAAAATAAATCCCAATGAAAGCAAGATGGAGGTATTGATTGCTTTGATGCTTGATGATAAAGGTCTTCGACTGTAATAGCCCCAACAGCTATAGCATAGAGGGAAATTGCAAGTGCCCAAGTCATGCCATTTTGTATTGATTGCTTTTAATTTGAGAGAGAGAGAGAGAGAGAGAGAGAGAGAGAGAGAGAGAGAGAGAACCATTAATAGGGTCCCATGCAAAAATCAAGTCCATTTACCATTTCCTCTCTTAGGTTGTGGTCCAAGCATCACCATCCAATCTTGCCCAAAAACTTAATTGTGGGAGCCATAACAAATTGAACATGGTCCGTGCCAACTCATTTAAAATTTCTATTGAGAATTGATTTCAAAAAGCTGCAAGTTGAGAGCTTGGACCTTATTATAATATCAAAACCCTTAAAAAAAATAAAATAAAAATCCTTTTGGATGTTATGTGCTTGTGTGTGTTTTTGTCTGTGAGGTTACCATAGGATGTGGGTCGATACTTGCCATGTGATGAAAAGGTAGTGGGCATCGCCGATGACTGATCATAGTTTTGGGGTCTTTAATTGCATATAGAACCCCTGAGTGAAAATTTTGACCCTTTTGCCCTCAGGAAACCTGTTTTTCCAAGAAACAATATTCCTTTTTCTCTGAGGGTAAAAGGGTCAAAAGCATTTCACTCAGGAGGTCCTATTTTGCAACAACAGAACTACTCGGGATCTATCTGTAATTAACCTTTTTTCCATCGCCACGCACCCACCCACCAATCAAAACAAGGCTCTTCTTTTTTCCCTACTGTTGTCTTCAGTTTACACATTTCTTATATCTGTAAGTAATCATTCTCAAACAAAGATCTCAGCCCCTACATTCACATCAGCATTTCCTCCTCTCGTTTCATCTCTATAGGCTCTTTTTTCTGAAAGTGCATCAACTTCCCTATTTTGCTATTTATTCCCCTGTAATCATTTCCCAAGTCATTTCCACAAGAGAACGTTTCACGTATGATGCCTGGATATATGTGTTCGCTTCCAAATGTGGAATCTGCTCATCGGAAGCTCAGTTTTGATATCTATCTGTGCCTCTTCAGTATTCTTTAATAGCACCAGAGCCAAAAATTTCTTCCACTTAGCTATATGAAATTATCCAAAAAAAAAAAAAAAAAAAAAAAAAAAACTATAAGTTTGGGTATTCCATGCTTAAACCAAGTTGGCCTTTCAAAAGGTGACAAGGATCTAATTCAGCCTTTCCTTTACTGCTGGATTTGGGTCACATATGCCAGTGGATTCTTTTGTCAGAGGGCTAGAATTCGTTGCACATGTGATTAGAAAATACTCACCATCCCTCTCCCAACCATATAAACCAAAAAAAAAAAAAAAAAAAAAAATAAAACTATAAGTTTGGGTATTCCATGCTTAAACCAAGTTGGCCTTTCAAAAGGTGACAAGGATCTAATTCAGCCTTTCCTTTACTGCTGGATTTGGGTCACATATGCCAGTGGATTCTTTTGTCAGAGGGCTAGAATTCGTTGCACATGTGATTAGAAAATACTCACCATCCCTCTCCCAACCATATATATCCGCAATGTTCATGAGTTAGCCATTTGATTTCTCAATCTCACCGAAAGGCGAGAGACTTCCGAGTAAATAGGAGGAGATAAGAAGAAGATTAATTAATCTAGATCTCTGAATCAAGGTGTGATATCGAAAGGAGATGATCATACTATCACGCAACAAAAAAAAAAAAAAAGTCTTCGTCTGTTAGTTTTTTATAAAAACGAAACTAGAGGTATAACACAACAGAAAACCCCCATGTGGAGTTTTTATTTCAGGATAGTTTTTGAAACACTTCTCCCTATCTTACATTTGGAAAGAGACTCCTCCAGAATTTTACAATTACCCCCTACACATAGTAATAGTAACATAAACAGAAACAGTACAGTAGCCATGCAGGTAACCTTTCGCATTTGCAGAAAGAAACAAGCTTTGTTAGAACACAGCATCTGACAGCTCCATGAGTCCCTCCACTTGTCCAGCAGCCTCATCAAGAAGCCATTTCTCTAATAGGGATATTGGTGCTTGCTGTCTCTCCGATCTCTCCTTGGACATTTCTTCCGAATCCGCCGATGACTTCTCCCAGCCAATGCAGCCAAAGTTCTCTATTGAGACCAATGATTGAAGCTCTTCATTGTTGGTATTGAATGCTATACTTCGTTGGTGATGGTCTTGTTGTTCTGGCTTTATAGTAGTAGTTTTTGAGGAGGATCGCATCCAACCTTCTAGAAGTTTTGATATGTTCTCAGTGCTTGAGGCATAGGTTGAGGAGCTGTGACCGAAGCTTGGGAGTGTGGAGTGCGTAGTGGTAGAAGAGCTGTAGGCTCTCATTGCGAGTTCTTGATGGAAGCCGGTGGCGGCTGAATCAGATGGAGTGACGTAACTGTCAATTGCCGTTTGATACTTCTTGATCTTTTTCTTGAGGTGGGTGTTCCAGTAGTTCTTGATATCATTGTCTGTTCTCTGAGGGAGGTAGGATGCTATGGCTGCCCACCTGAAAAGAAAGCACAAAAACAATCTTATTAAACCCGTACGTAGTACAGATCTATGCTTTCTTCTTCTTTTTTGTCCCGAGGATCTACTGGGTGAATTATTGATGAAGGGATAAATTTCTTTACCTGTTACCTAGCAAAGCTTGGAGATGTATGATCATCCCTTCTTCATGGGGAGTGAAGTTCCCTCGTTTGATCCCTGGCCTCAAATAGTTCGTCCATCGCAATCTGCAACTTTTGCTACATCTCATCAGTCCTGTATCAAACAATAAGATAGAGCTTACTCCAAGTTTTCAAATAAGCATATACTGAAATTTGATTTTATTTTTATCGAAACATACCAGTGTTTGTTGGTACAGACCTCCAGTTTCCAGGGCCGTGCTCTTGAATGTAAGAGACTAGGATGATGTCCTCTTCAGGCGTCCAAGGCCCCTTCTTGATTCCTACCTTATCACAGCAAGGAGGCCTTCCCATGTTCACCCTTTCTCAATCTTTCTTGTTCTTCTTTTTATTTTTGGTTATCTTTTTGTGCGTCACCTACGAGTGTCTCATGACAGGTGAGTGTTTATATACGTGAAGAATTGAAGAAAGGGAGATCCTTTTCCCCCCTTTTTATTTCACCTATCATCTAACTCTCTGACTCATTTGCTACTTTTCTTTTACAAAAGTCAGCTGAGTCCTCTTCCCCTTTCTCTTTTGTTTCTTTAGATCACATGAATCCCAAAACCTTGCTCAAAAGTAGAAAGCATCATACTAACTGATCCCAGCCCACGCTGGGTATCATAAACTCTCAATTAATGCTTAGATAGCTAGAATTGCTGTCATAATGCTAGTCAAATACCTAGAATTTGCTGCTTAAGCCCAGGGTAATGAAGTCTTAAAGTTACAAATAAAATCACTTTGATATTTCTTGAGTACAAGTAGCGGACTGGACTTACTCATGAGCTTAAAGTCTACATGATAATGTGCACACATATTTCAGGTCACATGCACATGTACATGTATAAATCTACATTTAGATATATATTGTGTACATGCACTTCAGAGAGTTAGGTGAATACCTGTGCATATTCCGCACGATGTTTACATATACCCAGGAAAACTGTGATCACTGGCATTCTACCCATATATATGCTTGAATTATTTCTCCACTGTACAGTATAATTATGGCGTCCAACTAAATAGCCCTATCACTTCTCAGCACTTTGTGATATTAACAGAATTACCCAACAGCATTCCTTCGTTTTCCTCAAGGGGGGAAAAAGAAAAAAAGAAGAAGTCATCAGTTGTAATTCTTACAAACTAGCACCACATTGCATGTGTATTTAACTACAGACCTAGCATTTCACCTGTCTAATGGTGAAAGCTGCCCACAGTAATGGGAAAAGTACATATATAGATGTCAAGATCAGAATGAAAAACAAAGGAATTAGTCGGTTATGAGAAAAACAAACCATGTGTACATTGGTTATCAAGTTAATGAAAAATGGACAGGGTATTGATTTATGCCCTCAAAAACTTGAGAAAGGGACCAAGATTCATGAACGTAATGATCTAGCGATTTCTCGAAGTTTCTTCTGTCGTAGGCTTTTCTTCATATTAGGATTGTATGACTATGAGTGTTGAGAACGTTGAGGCTGTGTGGATAGCCTTCTCACCTACCCCCAAATAGTGTTCACCTATCCCATGCTACAGTATTCACCTACCCTCAAATAGTGTTCACCTACCCCATGAGAAAACTTATAAATACCTCCCTAAGTTTGATTTGTAAAGCACCTCAATAGCAGAGAGAGAAAGAGAAAGATACATATATAAGTAATATCATTGAGAGATCTTGAGAGAGAGTTTGTGGAAAGAGAAAGATACATATATAAGTAATATCATTGAGAGATCTTGAGAGAGAGTTTGTGAGAATTCTTGGAGAGTATCTTGATTCATATATAAGTAATATCATTGAGAGATCTTGAGAGAGAGTTTGTGAGAATTCTTGGAGAGTATCTTGATTAAGAGAGGACGTTCTCTTTTATCTTTTTTTTGTAACCTCGAAAGGAATATAAAGAATTGGGCGTCGTCGTTACACCGTGGAGTAGCTCTGTAAGAGTGAACCACGTTATATCTATGAGTACTTTGATTGAATTCGTGTTTGCTAGTTTTATTCTGTGATTCCAAGATTGTTTGGGTGTGTTTTGCGTCTTTGTTTGAGGCGTTCTTGTTGGCATGTACCCTACAAAGTGATATCAAAGCATACGGTTCAGGAAAGACAGAATCTTTTGCCATTAGATCTACAGTTGAAGACAACATGCTTCGAATTAAGAAGTTCAGCGGCCAAAATTTAAGGTATTGGAGGATGTAGACAGAAGACTATTTGTACTAGAAGAATCTCTTCCTACCCCTCCAAGGAGAGACGGGGAAACCTGAGAAGATGGACAACGATAAGTGAAAGGTGCTCGATCGTAAAACACTTTCTACCATTAGGCTCAATCTTCACCAGCATGTGACTTACAACGTCTCGCATGCATGACCACCAAGGAGTTGATGGAGGCCTTGGTGGCGCTGTATAAGAAGTAGTCTGCCTCAAATAAGGTGTACCTGATGAAGAAGCTATTCAATCTAAAGATGCAGCAAGAAGCTTGCGTAGCGAGCTTCTTGAACGAATTTTCAGGTTGTGGTGCAACAGCTTGTTGCACTGGATCTCAAGTTCGACAAAGAGATCCAAGCTCTTATGCTACTTTCTTTTCTACCAGATTCATGAGAGAATATGGTGATAGCGGTGAGCAACGCTATTAGCAATGACAAGATGAAGCTCGACACAGTGATTGGGGTAATTTTGGATGAAGAATCATAGCGCAAAGTCTCATGAGCTGAGGCCTCTAGCAGTGGGAGTGCTCTGCATGTTGAGATATGAGGGCGTGTGCAGAAGAAGGGTAGGGGATGACGAGGCCGATCAAAGTCCAGAGGGAAGTCTAAAGGTCCGGACCCAAATAAATACGGTGAAGAAAAGTGCTTCAGATATGGAAAGAAGGGTCACTTTGCACGGGATTGCAGAGCTTCTGTTCCAGCATCAGTAGGGGATGATCAGGCCAAGGGTGCATCCAATCTCATGCACGAGACAGATTCGGATGCGCTTCTCCTATCTCTTGAAGACAAGAGCGATGCTGGGTCATCGACTCTTGCATCTTTCCATGCAACCTCACAATAAAAGCTGCTTTCATCATTCGTGAAGAATGACTTGGGGACAGTCTGTCTTGGCAACAATTAACATTGCAAGGTCTTTGGGAAGGGAAATTGTACCCTCAACAGGGAGGGCGGGACCACCTTGATGCTGAATGACGTTTGGTATATACCGGATCTCAGGCAGAATCTTATATCAGTTGGAAAATTGATTGACTTCGATTACAGAGTATCATTTGAGCAGAAAAGCTGGAAGGTGTTTAAGGGTTCCCTGGTGGTAGCACACGACAAACGCGAGTGGTCTCTCTACATCGCCAATAGGAAGATCGACCACTTGCTTGTCGCAGGACAAGCATCATCATCATCCGCCGACTGCATCACTTGACATCGGTGACTTGGCCACATGAGCGAGAAGGGGATGCAGATAATGGCCGTGGGAGAAAGGCTTCCGGGTCTGAACAAAATCGATCTGACCTTCTGTGAGGATCGCATCCTAGGCAAACAGAAGAAGATGAGCTTCAACAAGACCAGGTCTGCTCCAAAACTGTAGAAATTAGAGTCGGTGCACACTGACATGTTGCGACCTGCGCAAGTCCCATATGTTAGTAACTTTATTTACTTTGTCTCTTTTATTGATGATGCTACTAGAAAACTGTTGGTGTTCTTCTTGAAGCACAAGTCAGATGTTTTAATCATCTTCAAGAAGTGGCTTGCCTATGTGGAGAACGAACATGCAATAAGCTGAAGTGTCTAAAGTCTGATAATGGAGGCGAGTATTGCAGCCATGAGTTCAATAACTTCTGTTCATCCCATGGGATTAGGAGACTGAAGATCATTCCAGACACATCTCAGCATAACGGAGTGCGGAGTGAATGAATCGCACTATCTTGGAGGGCGCTAGAAGTATAAGGATCCACTCCTGATTGCCCAAGAGTTTTTGGGCTGATGCTGTGAATACTGCTGCATACTTGATCAACCGTAGGCCATCCGCGACTGTCAGTTATGAGATACCTGAAGAGGCTTGGACTAGAAAGATGCTGAAGCTAGAACACTTATGAGTATTTGGTTGTGACGTATATGTCATGACTAATCCTGCAGACCGGTCAAAGCTTGATCCAAAGTCAAAAAAGCTCTCTTTCATCGGCTATGAATGAGATGGGTATGGGTAGGGATGCCCAAACGGCTTGGCCCGGGCCCCGGTCTGGCTCAAAAAATCAGGCCCGGGCCGGGCGAAATCCGAGCCCGGACCCGGGCACCGGGCCAGCCCGGGTTTTTTTTATTTTTTAAAAATTTTAAAAATTTTCTTTTCCTCTAAATATTCAACCAAAAATTACACAAAATTTTAACAAAAAACAATGATGTTATTAATCACTTGAAATTACATAAATTAAAAATACAAAAAATTATTAAAATTAAAATAATAAAAATAACTTTTTTTATTAATAATCAGTAAATTATTTATAATTATAAATTTATTTTGGAATTCATCACATCACAATAGATGAGTACATCCCAACTAGGTTTACACCTATTCACCTATATCACTATCGTTTACAACTGTTTTCAAAATAATTAATTATAAGTTTTCAGCTAAGAAATAAAAATTATAATTTGATGAATATTGTTTACTCTTTATATCTATCAGCTAGTCCCAACTCTTTAAATTTATCTTCAATACCAGCTATCTGATCGATGCCTTGCGTTCTCTTTTCGTACCTCCACCAACCTTGTTAGCATATCACCGCCTGTACAATATATGGATCTAACGATGTCCTGTGGTCACCGATCGAATGTCTGGCTATGCTAAAGACGGATTCCGAAGCTACCGTGGAAACATGCTCTGTTAGTAAGTCACGAACCATGATGGAAAGTATAGGATATGAAACTGTTTCATATAATTTCCACCATTGTGAAGTATCTAAACTATTATTTTGATATTTAGATAAAGATGCAGTTAAATATTGATCAATTTCAGAAACCTCTGCTGATGATCCAAGTCCAGATCCACCAGTTAGCTCAGCTACTATTGCATACCTATCAAAACTTACACTTTTGCCCCGACTTGAGCTCGTAGAAGCAGAAACTTTAGACTGATGTGTAGCTACACCATATTTAGCTACATACTCATCATATAATCTTTGAAAATAATTTTTAATAGTATTATGATGAGTAGTAGTAGTAATGGTTTGACCATCATCAATGTCTATAATCATATTACCATACAAGGAATTTACCAAACTTTGAAGGCCAATATCCTTCAAACACGAATCAATAAGAACCCCAAACAAAAAATAACAGGAATATGCATAAAAAATTTATTAAATTTACTTTTTATTTAAAAAACTATATTTCCAAAATAATCATGCATACAATATTTATTATTATTTTTTGAATATTTAAATTTTATAAAGTAGCTAAAGTAATGGTTGGATAATAACAGCCAGATAATAATATTGTAGTATCATAAAAAACTTGTAACATCTCTTTTAAATTACTTATAACTGTCCATTCAT